ATATATATATATATATATGTCAATTGGCTATTTTGACGACATCAAAAAATTGGATATTTTATTGCATACATAGGATTACATTAACACTCTGACGTACATACATATCACTTATATTTTTGCGATAAAATGTACTGGCACGTATGTATAAGGAAATAATTATAGATTGGCTAGTATGACGACAGTACAAAACTATGTACAATAATACATTACGTAGCTAATATGACGACACTAATATTTTCCGTAAAATCCTGTTTACACGAAGGAAAATCCCGTTTACGCGAAGAAATTATCAGAAGTAACGTTCGCGTAAACGTAATATATGTTACGTTGATATATCAAATTTCTTAATTTTTAAAAGCGTTAAGTTGTGACCGGACGGTACAAGTTGAGCCCGATTCCGGCGGATAATATTCCCATCGAACGGTCGCCACTCGGTTTGACCTTTGACTACCGAAAAGGTAAGTTCGCATCAACGCCACGATTATTCGCAAGACGTTAATGGGATTTCTTTTTTTCAGAATAATGTCCCTGATGAATCACCGTTGTGCTTCTCATCCCTGGATCCTCACTTTACATCGCATACCAGATAGAGGTAAGTAATAATAAAATAATTATATCATAATTATTTTAAGTTTTGTTTCAGATTGACGCCCGGAATGGATCGCCGTTGCTGTTTCCCGTCTCTGGATCCTCGTTTTATATCGCATACCAGATAAAGGTAAGTCCCGATAATTATGTTTAATTATATACTAATACGCATCTTTTCTTTCAGGTTCCTGCCCAGGATGGATCGCTGCTGCTGCTGCTGTGCTTCCCCGGATCCTCGCTTTAAATCGCATACCGGATTGCCGCTGGACAACGTTGGATCATCGCCGAAGGACAAGGTAAGTAGAAGGTAAGTATTAATAATTTTTTATAATTAATCAGGAGAATTTGTTTCAGAATTAATTATTCTTTAATTCCAGATCATCAACACTACAGGCCGTTTTACAATGTTATAAAGGTACTTCACATCACGAGTTTCTCGCCTCGGTGTGGATGTCGCTTTATTTAATAAAAGTTGCACAATTGTTTAATTTGCGTATCTCGGCTTATTAGTTTCGTCGATACGATGCTTTCATTCCCGATAATTAATCCGATCGGAGGACTCTGTGCCCCGTGACTGTTGTACTATGATCACGCACTCGGGCGTGATCATCACTCTATCATACAATGTTCGTGCGCTTAATTAACGCAGGAATATCCGATTGTTATATACACTGATTAATAATGTCCGCACAATATTCCGCGTATCCGCGTGACCCAATGCCCGTGGTTGTATATACTCGATATGCACTTCCGTTAATTAACAATGTATCCGAATTTCAACTCGCGTATTGTTGCTAACACTTGATTGTATTTGGCATCTAAGTGCCCCCTCGCTATTGTTAAGACGAGTAATTTTACGCGGGAGTTCTCGGTTGTAAAGTATAACTCGTATGCAAATAGTACAGAGCATGGTGTAAGGATTACATGGTGTGCTCAATTGCCTGGGGGGATTCGGGTAATGACGTCACTCGTGTCGAATTGTGTAAACAAAGTAGCCAACGTCTAGAAATAAAACATTTTTGGTGTTGTAATATTGGCACATGTTCATGCATCCTTGTCACACTCATGTCGCTTATGCCACTCAGAAGTACGGTACATTGTTTTGTGGTAAACAGTGGGTCTGTTCGCGTTGCGACAATATATAAATTTAAAATAAAAATGGTGCGGCGTATTGTTAAAAGTTGTAGGAATAAAACAACGGGGGTTCGTGAGGAAGCTGTGAATTTTTTTTCAGCTACCGAAAAATGAAGTGACGCGGGAAGGATGGCTGAAAAAAATAGGAGGCTATGTTTTACCACCAAAAGTTGAATTTGGTAAGTTTGATATTGTACATAAACGTGCAAAAGTATATTAATTAAAAAATAAAAATAAATAAAAAATAATATTTTTTAGTTAAGGAGGTTCGATGGCTACAACAAAATGCAGAGAGTTTCATAAAATTTTAATATGTTGTTCTGGAATGCAAAATAGAATTATGTGAATTTATTAGGAATTTTTCACCGTCCCGTTTTGAAAAAAATCTACTCCAAAAATTTAAAAAATACAATTTTTTGATTAGATTTTTTTCAAAACGGGACGGTGAAAAATTCCCCAAAAATTCACATAATTCTATTTTGCATTCCAGAACAACATATTAAAATTTCATGAAACTGGCTGCATTTTTAACATAGGTTTTTATGGGAAATGACATATTGCATATACCTTCAGAATGAAATAAGTGCAAGAAAAAATGCAAATGATAAAGAAAAAGAAATTTGCACATGTAACTTAATAATTTACAAATAAATGAGCGAAAGAAAGGGGAAGGTTACTGCACATTTCGTAAAAAAATTAATTATTAAAGCATAAATTGCTTGATTTTTCGTCTGCTAGACTGTCATGGTCGTGAACGACGTGAACAGCAGCACGCATTATACACGCGGCGACCAATCAGAGCAATCCCCTTCATTCCCACTACTTCAAACGCTAGTGCGCTGTTTCCAGAACCCCCGCGTCCCACTACTCCCTCCGATGAAGCCATCGAACCTCCTTAATAACATAACCTCAAATTTTGTATTTACAAATGGAGTAAAAATGTCATAAAATGTTATTAATATGAACAGAAAATATTAAAAACAAATTAGCACTTTGTTCATGTATATAAGTAAAAATATTTTACAATTCAAAATATAAAAATCTTTAATTTGAAATAAAAATTATGAAGCCTTATTTAATACAATGTATTAAGTTTTATTATTTATACATTATATTATTTTCAGCAAGGATATGCTCGGTTCATTTTAGTCAAGAGTCCTTTCATCAAGGTCGAGCACGGAAAGACCCTATTAAGAAACGTCACCTACTACCATCGGCTGTGCCAACGTTATTTTTGAATTGTTCAGAAGCTCCAAATGTAAACAAGTAAGTATATAAAAACACATACACATTTGTATTTGTAATGTGGTATTATGTAATTATATAAATGTACTTCTTCACAAGGAATGCGGTGGCTGAACCAAACCTCAAGTTCAATATCCTCCGACGAGAATTCCCACTAGTTGTCAATTCTGAAAGAAGAATAGGATCTTCAAATACAACTTCACCAACAACTTCTCATGTAGTTGTAGAAGACAACATTGTAAATATCAGTACGCCAAAAGAAATATATAGGAGGTAAATATTTGAAGGTTTAATTTAACAAAAATCACAAAGGGGTGATTAATAGTGATGTTCTTTTAGAAGTGACTGGTTGGATGCAAATGTCGACATTGAAGAAGGTCCAGTATGCAATTCATCACCAAGAAGGTATGCTCACAGTGATATTTCTGAAATTACTTTTCAGCAAGGTTTTATTTTTAATGATCTTTTTTATTCTGTTGAGCAGGTCTGTGGCAAGAAGACATGACCGTTTAAAAAATACTCCACATTTGACGAGGTGAGCATGAGACATAAAAGACAAAACATAAATTTGAAAAAAAAAGTATATTATTTCACAAATAAATAATAAACATTGGATGTTTTATAATCAGTATGTTATGTTTATATTTAAACATGAAGACTTTTTTAAATTTTCAGACTTGCAAGAAGTAAACACCGTCGACAAAGCAGCAGTGATCCACTGAGTCCAGCATGGAAGCGTCGAAAACGGTATTTACCAATTTTACAATATTTCATA